TTCACTCATGTGGTTAGTGACCAAACAGAAGAAAGAATTCATTCAAAATAGAATGTAATCCAATATCAGCAATCTATCAACAAACAATATCAAATTTCCCTGCAAGGGCAATTCATGCTATGTGCACTTATTTTTATTTCATAAGTCAAATAAGTTCTCAGTTAAATATTTTGTGAAAGTGTATACTGCAAAGTTCTATAAAAACAAACAATATTAAGGAATTAAAATTTTTTCAGTGAACTTGCACATGCCGTAATGAAGAGAAGGTAAACCCAAATAGGTCCCAAAACAGTATTAAAATGACAACAATCTCAACACGGAAAATAAATGGAAACATTCCCCGCAGTCTCCCTTGAAAGAAATCGTAAACTTTCATAACAAACGTGAAATGAGATTTCAAACAATTTGAAAGATCGGTCTAACAATTATTAAGTTTTCAATAACTATTAACTTAATTAGTTAATTTCCTTTTTAAGTTTCTTGTAACGTTGTGTTATTTTATTATCTGTTCCTTGCAATTGTTAAAAAGATATTTCAGAAAGTAATAACATCACAAACATGATTTAGTACTTAAAGCCATTTATTTAAATCAGGATTGAACTTTATTAATTGTCATAATTATTTTTATTTATTTATTTTAAAATTGTGATAGATAGAAGAGGTCATTTTGATAATGTTAATTACTGCTTTGCTAATGAGTTAATGGGCCTCGTTTTCTCACAAAAAGTACGGCAATCCCTCGTTTACAACTAAGTTTATTCTTTTTCTTTCTTCTTACTGTTAGTACTGGAAAGGTCTCAATGGTGTAAATTTGTGAAAGGAGAAAGTGACTGATGAAGTACAACAAAATGTTATCTAATAAATGAATTATCTTATCAGATGCATCAATCGATAACAATGAATGCTGTGAGATAAGCCACTTCTCCATCCTGCTTTTCTGTAGACATTTCAAAATCGATATCAAAGTAAACCACAGAACTTACTTTCTTTTAAACAATGCACCAGTAGCACTATTAACCTCTTTTTTTAAGCAATGTTTTTCAGGAAGCCAAGGAATGTAACTTGAGCAGTACATACTAACGTGCAGTCAAACATTGGAAATAATGAAAATAAAGAATTTCTTGGCAGTAATGTTTGTAGAATTATTTATATTCATAAACTTGTTACAGATCAAATGGAAAAAATGATTTCACTGAAAAGCATTATTTTGAAAATTCTACTGGACATTCTACTCTTTAGTGTGAAAAGATTCAAAACAAAAATTGTAACAAAATGATTTCTTAAAAATTGCACACAAATGCTTATAAATAAAATTTAATTAAACAAGAATAATTTTTACCCACAAAGTTGATGGCTTAATAATATTCATTAAACCAACTAAAATATTTTAGGCTAAAATTAAATCTAATCATTCTATAGATATACAGAATTCATCGTTCTCTACATTAGTATCTAGAATAAGAATGACATTAAATTAAGAGGATTCTAATTACTTCTTCAAAAGAATTGTTTTCGATCTTTAAACCAGTTTAGAACGAGACTCCACAAATGTAGTTTTCACTGCAGTAAATAAAAATAAAATAAAAAGAAGAACAAGAAACAAATATTTATAATTATTTGAACTAGATTTTCAATATGAATGTTCAAAATTATTCCTTGAGAACATTTAGCTTTATAATGTTCATTATTTTGGTATTTTCAAAAATGTTTTAATGAAATAGCAATGTGGCAAAAGTAGAACCTTTGTTGATTGTAACAATCTTCAAAATCCAGAAGATGGGATGAAATTTTGAGGGGGAAAATTCAATGATTTTAAATATGCTTGGTGATTGTTTGTACGTTACTTTTGACTCAGTTTGAGTTCGAAAATCAAGTAAGATTAGTTGAATACAAATCTAATTCCAAAATAGTTATTAAATAATTTTTTGATAGAACTTCAACTTTGAACATTGTTGCTCTGCAAACAATTTCAAATGCTCAGCAAATACAATGATCACTGGAAATGAAATATTTTCTCGGCTACTTTTTTAAACCACATTTTGTTTTAATTGTTAAATTTTCTTTGCATTTGTATGAAAACTTCTCTACAATAAGCTCCTCAAAAATTATACTTTAAATAACATCAAAATACTATACATTAACACATTCAGAAAACTAATACAAATTGTTAAGGAACAATAAAAAAATACGGCACACATTTATTTGTTAAAATTCTTCACATCATAGCTTAACAATATCAACACTAAGAGAAATCTTGATACGTTAAATCTTTGGTAACTTTTTCATACATTCTCATTTACACTAAACTGGTAACTCAGTAACATGAATCTTGTTAGAAATATTCTTTCTCTTGTTCTTTTGTCCTTAGATTTGAGACATGAAATTCCTTAACACAATTTACCCCAACCACTTAACATTAAAGAATTTATCTACCACCACACTAAATCATGAACAGTGAAATGTAAACAGACTGCATGTATAATCAACAGCCTTCATTCTGTTTGGACCCTTAAAATGCATACAAGATAACTGAAGGAATTTAGGTAGTTTGACAGTTAGGTAGTTAAGTTTTTGTCACCCAGTCTAAAAGCACCTACTAGTTCTGTGAGTAACACCTATTACAGCAAGAATGCTATTTCTCATCACCACTGGTGTCCTCAGCATCTCCTCTACTGACCCAGACTCAGAGACTGTGATGTACTTCCTCATTGCAGAAACTATAAATTCCTCTTATGACTGTTGGGGTCTTTGTGCATGGAAAATGAGTATGCTGACCATGAGCTACCTGGAGCTAATAGACAGACTACCAAATAGTTAATAATCAAATATCTTTGACAAAGAAAAACTACATGAACTATATGACTCATGATTTCTTAAAATATCAGTGACAAAGGTTGAAAATGACATTTAAATTGATTAATTATTTTAATTGATTGATTACTTAAATTGATTATTTAAGGAAGGAACTAACAATTCGCATTAAAGAGAAAATATCTGTTACAATACAAATAATGAGCATACACAAATAATGGTCAATTAATGTATCTCGGCCTTTTCAAAGCCATAAATTACTGTAATGATCTGGAAGTATTTTAAATATCTAAATATTTCTACCGTGTATGCAGTCTTTCAATTATGAACACCTCTCTAACCTCAAAATGTTAGTTGTCTTTTAATTTTTTTATTCCTAAATGAATTATCAAAGAAAACTAGAAAATATGAAATTCATTTTTTCAATATTTCAATTTCAATATTTGAATTTCTACTTGTAGTAATTAGAATCCTCTCAATACAGAACATTAAAATGTTCTTGAATACACACAATGAATGATAAGATAGTTAAAGCACAGCTGCATTACAAACGTGTAAGATCAAGATGTACACACACAAAGATACAAACACATTATTTAATAAACAATATTTGTTGACATCTCCTCTACAAACATAAATAATTTTTAAACGAAAATATTTCAACATTTCAGATTTCATCCTAAAACATTGTAAACAATGATCAACTAATAAATGAGCAACACCAATATATTTATTTAATGTAATACACTTTCAATTACGATTTCAAGTACATTTGCTTACATATTAACTGCGATGAATAACTCTTGTTTCTAATAATTCTCTCAATAAGATTTTTAAAAATATTTTAATGTCCACTTTGGAGTACAGACAGAAACAAGTGCAGCGGAAATCCAGCCTCAACAGCAGATATAGGTTGGGAATGGATTTCATATCATCTGCAACTTGGATTTTGCATTTTTTTGTTTTCATTTTAGTGGCTTCTGCTCCTTGAGGTCTGGGGTGAACCCAGCACCCTGACAGTGCTGTGTGGGTCAGAGAAGGGGTTCAAATCCACCAGAACCTCTCGTGCTGCCACACTGAACACATACGTACAAGCGTGCCACAAAAATATTCATGACATGCTCACTTGCCAATCTCACTGAAAAAGTAGAGTTGCCAGAACACATTTCATCAGTTGCCTACTTCAGACACCTCTCATGTTTACTTTTTCTTGCCCTTTGTAAATGGTTTTTCATTCAAAAAGTAATATTCATGATTCATTTTTTCACAGAAGTATCTAGAGATGGTAAAAAAACTGAAATGATTGATTTATGATACATTTTTAGCTCCAAATTTCTTCACTCTATGAGTGTTTCCATTCCTTAACAGATATTTTAATCATGAGAGATTACTGAAATAACCAAATGATTTAATCACATAGTAAATTATTGTCAGTGCTAAAAATACCATTTTCAAATAATTTTTTTCTCTTTCTTAGTTTAGGGAAAAATAATTTTCTGTAAACTAGGACAGAGCAAGAATATAATACATAAAAGAAAAAAAGGTTAGATGAGTACACAGTAGAAGAAACGATCGATTGTCCAATATTCATCACGTCTGGCAACTCTGTTTGCAGCTTACCTAAACAGAACACAAAATCACTTTACTGTGCCTTCCAACTGCATCTAACATATTTCTGCAGTGGAGCATCTTAAATCTTTAATTTTTTGAGCCATAATATTACAACTATACACATACATCTAATATTATCACAGTAAAATACATGGTGTTGGTATTCTCTGAATGTAAAATCCGTTACTGAATCACAAAGTTTCACAGAACACAATTTAAAGTATAAGCAACTCCTCCTTCATATAAAAGGGCATCCAAACCAGTTTAAAGTACAACTTACAACAAAATTTTTAAAAAACTCAACAATTTTTATCAGGCACTAATTTATTGTTTTCAAATAGGAACAAGAAAACTGATGTGCAACTAAGCTACTGGTACCAAAACCCAACAGTAAAAATAATAATACAAAACTCTCAGAACTGCATGAAGGTAAAGATATTGATTCTTTTTTTTAAATAAAATGAAAGTAAAAGATGGAGCAAACAAAACAAAATAAACCTCCATTTTAACATTACAGTTCATGCATTATACTGTAAACAAGTTTGATAGAGGGCAATTTTTTCTTCTTGATTTTCTTTCATATTATGTCTTGACTTTTATTTGTATCCAAGTCTGACAGGTTTTGGTTTCTGGATGCCCATTAATAAAAAAAAAAATTCACTAAATTAACTCTCGCACAAAAAAATACTAATATTGAGCCTAAGAATGCTTCAAGTACAGATTCAATAATTCAATTAAGTCCTAGATATAAAAGAAACATGGCACAATTCAAGTTGTATTGCAAACTCTCTTCATGTCAAATAACTATACATAATATTAAGTATAAATAAAAATATGTAAAGGCAGTCGAACAAAGTGAGAGATATGTTTATACTGATATGTTAACAATGATTTGGAAGCACATGAAACAAGAGGTTTGGTTGCAACTTCTTCATGCCAATCAAAATATGAATATGGACATGTAACTCAATAAAATTACATGATCCATTTATAATCAAGTAAATACAGAGTAAGTGAACTAAGCTTGGTATTCATTACATGACTTCCAAGAGGTTTTTGTGTTTAAATATGTGTAGAAAAACAATGCAAGAATAAAATTCTTGGGAAAATTCCTGTACATGCTGCAGATCAGTACAAGATCTCCCAATTTTTGATTATTGGGTCTGATTTTAAAATCACGTTATAAAATTAGATTTTTCCATTATGTGCATATTACAATCACTGACTTCACATAAACTTAAATTTCAAAGCTAATTGAGCAAAGGGTTTCTTGTTCTCCCTAAAGGTTGCCTGTTGTCACCACCGCAAATATGCTGAAAACTGTGTAATTGTAATCAGGTCAAGTCATTAAAATCGTTAACAATCGTGTCTCCTCAGAGGGAATATTGACATTTCTCTCAATTTCAACAGAATACCTTGTACAATAACCATTCTGTCAGCAATATTCAGCAATTGGATTATTGGCACTTGGAATTTTTGCAAATTAAATGATTATTCAGAAGAACAGCTACTATGGCAAGAAAATAAATATCCATTTTTAAATTTCAGTTTTCAAGCTAATTTATGGGTCATTGAATGCGACAGAGCATATATTTCTCAAACATATTTACAAGTCAGGAAGAAGATGGCAATCAGTGACCTCAATTTTTTTAAATTTCAGAGAATATTAATTATTAAAATTAACGTTATTCATTTACAGATCCAAATAATATTACGAAGGAAATGTGTCCAAAGCCTTTTCTTGTATAAATATTCTTCTAGACTATTAAATAATAACTAAATGCAAGGGAAATGGTTTAAAGCTGTTTTGATTTGAATTTATGTTGGGTATATATTGTGCTAAATATTAAAGTCATTTCTTACATAAAATTTCCAGGAATTAAACAATTGATTAACACAAACCTGTTTTTATTTGAGTAAAATTCCTAAAATTATTTTTTAGTGATTTAATAAAATAAAGCATTTTATTAGACAAGTTATAACTAATTTATGTGTTTATTAAACCAAAAACATAGTAAAATTTGAAATAATTTTGAAACTCAAAAAGTTTTGCCAGAACTAACTTTATAATTCGATATTAAACTTCATTCATTTGAAAGTTTCTTGAGGAGCATGTAAGATAACCATTACATAATGAAAGAAGCAATTTAAACAGTTATTGGTGGCTACAAAACATACGTGCTAAGTTTTTAACAATATTAGGATAAATCTGAATCTCGGAGAGGAAATAAAGATGGAGTGTGGTGTTTGTATTGGCTCCACAAATGCACAGATTTTCTCTCCAATCAATTATTGTTGCAATGTTAATTATTTGTACTGTGAGGGGGGAATTAAGTCATTCTTTCTGCAGATTTGAAATAAAATAGAAAGTTAGTTTTAATAAGAAATGATAAGTAAAGAAAAGAAAAATCAAAAACACTTACATTACAAAGATATAAGATAAGAAAATGAAATATAGAAAGTTTTAAGTTTCTACCACAAGAAGCAAAGAGGAAGAAGGAAATGTATATCATAATGTTTATAAAATACAGAGAATTTGCATAACATAATGCGTGCCAGAATTTTAAATCATTCTGTACACCATGGGTTGAGCATTTAAGTCAACATTCGATAATTCTCCATTAACATGCTTTCCTAACACAGCATGAAGTATTGGTCCATGTATCTTACTGTTACACACAGACTATTCTACAAAGGGTTATCAACTACAATAGACTACAACTATGAAATTGTAGTAATACAGATATTTTCAATTAAGAAAATTATAGGACAGTAGTTTAAGATTGGAATGTTTGAATCATGGCAGGTTGAATCATGTATACTTTTAGAGCACAAAATACCATAGGAAAAACTGAAAAACGCACAATTATTTTAAAAACTATCTATACATTTAATTACTGAACACACAGCACTCCCACATTTTCAGTATGGATGTGACTACTTCAAAACATGATTTTGGTAAAATGTATTTGCCATATAGTACTTCCAGTACCAATGTTTAAATCTGCTCTTAAATAAAACTTCAGTAGTTGCGCTCTCATAAATTTGTCCTTCACTATTTGCTTCAAAAGGGGGGAAAAAAGCCCTTATAAAATGTTATAACTGACAGTCAATAAATGTTTAGGTTAGCAAAACAAATCAGCTCATTTTGAATACTTTTGTAACACAATCAGTGTCAATGGTTAAGATTTTAACAAATCATTTTGTCATATCATTTTCCTCTGGCCATGACAACATGCAATTTTCACAACAATTCTTGCTGCAGGAAATATTCGCCAAGTGAACTTATATTTTCATTTTTATAACACAAATAGTTCCCATGCATTTTACAAAAAATGGAATCTTATTCAATAATGAAGTCACTTTTGCAGAACACACACTTCCAGAGTTGATATTGCATGTTTCCCATAATAAATATTATTTTATGGAATAATTTCTTTCTTGAAACTATTCCAGTGTTTTGCATACTAAGGATTCATAAACAATGTTTGAAATTATATACTCCATTAGCAAATACACCAACCAGTACCTATCTGAAAGATATTTTTGGAATTATAAAATTTGTAACACCTTTGATGAAAGTAAATTATAAATTTCATCAGTACTCTCAACATTAATTGAAGTCATTACCAAAAGCATGGCTTATTACTATTTGTTTCAATAGAATATTAGTTATAAAAAGTTTTAATTGCAGGCCTCACAAAAGAGTTTCGGTTTCAGCAGTTTCCTTTCTTAAAATAGGTAATTTCCATTTCTGATCAGTGATGATACCAGCATGTGAGGCTAATTACACTTAGTACTTCGATTTGTTTAGAAAATACTAACATGATTTCAACTTCTATAGTTTCACCATTGATTCCACAATTTTTTCTAGAACTGTATCTAGTTGTCTTCGTAAAACAGTTGTTTTTTTAAAAATAAATTATATTAGAGAGACAAGTAAGCTGAACTTTTAATACCTGAACATCTAGTTTAGTGAGGGTAGCTCATACTTCCTAAGAATATAAATTCTACTATATTTTGATGAAGGTGCGTAATGTCAGATCTCTCCAATTCAGAGGGCAAGAAACAGAGTTTTACAAAGTTGTGAAATATGATTAAATATTTTTGATTGTTCTAGCTGTTGGGAAAGAAAATGTCAACACTTTGAATATTTTCTTCCTATCTATTTCCATATAATACTGTACACACCCGAATATAAGACAAGAATCTTTGCCAGCTTTCAAATTCTGGGTTCATCTTATTTCTACACATTAACAGAAACGTATTAATACAATATGAGATTCTGATGTCTCTGAGGAGTCAAACTCCAAAAAATGTAATGGAAGGTCCCAAAATATCTCATTTTGTAGATAACTGAGAGAGAAAATACTCGTGCCTGGATTGCATTTGTCTGCCTAATTCAGACAGGTTACCGCAACAAATCCTTAATATTTATAAAGATAAAATTACCTCTCTTTTCTTTTGACACATCTTTTGTTAAGATTGGTAGGTTGAGAGAATTACAAAAACAGAACCACAAAATATTACCACAGGAAATAATGATGATGATTATTCAAAAAAGTTGATATATTGATGAAGTTTAATTTACGTTGAATATATAAATAAGGAAATGTGTTTTTGAAAATTGTTATTCCGAACTAATTTCTGGTAAAAAAAAAAGAGTTGTCTTATATTCAAGTAAATACAGAATATTAAAATATTTTAAATTTGTTTAGATAACACAAATGAAATTGGATATCTTTTTGAGAATTGCCTTCACAATATTGACTAAAAATTTGTTAGCCCAAGGTGTTAAATGCCATATCTACTGTCATTAAAAACACATGCGCAAAATATTCTTTAAGTTGATACCTTGAAACATGATACATGATTGAAAACTTGACACACTATGTCGAATCATATCATTCAATGCATTAAATAACTGTTCATAGAATGTTTCTAGACATGTACTCCACTGGAAAAGAGAAATCTAAAACCCCACTTAATTATTAATGCTTTTTGTACTAATTAGGACGTTAAATATTGTAATAATAAATTTCATAGTACAATAGGAATATATGAAAACACAAACAAAATACTCATACCTCATTAAATTCAACAATCTTCTAGTAAAGAACATAGCTTTTAGTTCAACAGGCTGAACAGAAGTGATTGTAATATTAGAATTCTTTAAAATAAAAGAAATTAAATAAAGATAACTTTGAAAGAAACATGTTGCCAGTGTAATAAAATCTGTTTAAAGATTTGACAAGAATGTTATGGATGGATCTACACAAATATTGGCACGGACTTAACAGCACCTTTGTGAAACTGAATGTTTCTCTTCTGTGCATTCATTATGAGAACAAACTGTTTAGACTATTCTTGAGGGAGGAAAATCTGCTCTATTGAAGAAATCTTGCAAACAACAATTACAAATTTATGATCAGGCTTTTAACATTATGAATACCATATCACCAACTGCTGATTATTCAGAAATCTTCAAGATAAGTAAAACTGCAAAACTATAACGCATGTTGTTACAGCCACATTGTGAAGTATATAGTTCCAAATATTTTAAATAAATATAATAAATACATAGATGAACTACACAATTGCATGCTTACACTTCAAGGCTAATGTCTGAGATTCATTGGTGTACATTAATAACTACTATGATTTACGTGTACCTACAAGGTTTAGAAACATATTTTCCATTTAGCTCTAATTTTTAATCAAAATTATGTTCAATTATTGAGGAGCAAAATTATTGAGCTACTTTTTTTTCTTTCAATTTAAAAGCTAGCTACCTCATTTTGCAATTTATTTAAACAGAGGACAAGAGCTTTGAAAAAACAAATGCAACAGGTAGAAAATAATAATTTTAAAAATGCCTTTTTTACGTACAGCTGTCATTAAGAATTCTAGTTTAGAGCCTTTCAACTTTTCACCGAGAAAGGTATACAATATTAAAAATCATTCTTTAATAACTTTCAAATATTTTCCATTGATCTGTTCAACTTGAGAATTTATAAGAAGGAATAAAGTTGAAATATATGGACCAATTTATCTACTTATGCTACATTTGTTAATGATCATAAGGTCATCACTCTACCTATGTACACCAGTGAACTCATTCACACCACATAGCATGCTTCTCAATATCACAGTTCAAAATACAATCATAATGCTTCAAAAAAATTATCAAAGTACTACAAATAAATAGAGAATATATATTAAAGTCCTTTGAAAGAAAATTTATAAGAATTATATGTACTTAAAAACATCAAAAAACTTTAGATCATTGTTGAAATTGTTATTCAGTATACACTTAGTAATTCATATAAATTTATTTCCACAATGACAGTGTAGAACAAATTTCAGAACTTCACAAAATTTCTGAATTCAATGCTACGTATGAAAATACATATGAATAATTAATGGAAGATTTTGGCAGATTTCAGGTAAATAAAATATGTTTCATTCTTTATGCATAAAAATCTTTCCAAGGAGAGGATAAATATACCGCCACTACCACAATCTACTTTGCTTCTTTGATTGCAAATTGGTACATTGCATGATTTTGTAATAACATTATTAATCATTATTTCAAATCTTGAAATGTCTCTCTCTTTAGTATCTAGGTATCTGCACTAGCATTCTCATTAAAAACAAGATATTAGTTTGTAAAATTCTGAAATAAGACTGTCCCAACACTTCAGAATGTATTGTGGATACATACACTATCCGTTCTCTATAATTAGATTGTTTACAAGTTCATAAGAGTATTCTACAAAATTAAAACAAATACAAATATCATTTTAAACAAAGAAAACAACACATAATTCCATTGTGTTCTGCTCATTAAAAGATAATTTCAATCAATAAAATTGTATTTTGCAATTTTGCAAATATGCTTTTACTCCACAAGTCATAAGACAAAGCTTAAATCTGCCAATAATCACATTCCTCAAATTAACCTACAAGAGTTATTATAACAAAAGATTAAAACTATTCAACTAAACAGGAAAACAAAAGAGACTATGCCATGGAACCTTACAAGTCCAGAACTGCTAATGTATTTTCATATTAGTGAGCAACACAGCCACAACAAAATATAATACTGATAATATTTAGGAATTAAATGCTGAATAGATTTTACTTTCTCATTATAAAGAGCAAATGAAAGATATAGCAGGCGGAGTAAAAAACAAAAACAGTGCACCAATTTTTGAAAACACAATCTCAAACATTTTCATCAGAAGAACAAATCTTGCTTATCTACAAAATATCTAAAAGATTGAAGTAAAGAGACCAATTAAATTAAATTTAAAAAATGTACTACTGGTAGCAGTAATATTTGGACACAACTCCATGTGACATAATTGTGGAAATGGATTCACATGTTAAAAATTATCAATGATATGAATAAAAGTTATCAATAATCAACACTGACATCCTGCAGTTGGATCACAAGATTAATGACTAATATGGCAAAAAGACATAAAAATGAAAATTATGACTAATAATTTTCATTTTTATACAACAAAATTATTCTTTGCCATTTTAGCCAATGAGAATAAACACTAATAGTTTCAATTTCTTTACTATGGTTTAAAACCATGATCATTCTCATTCTACAGAGAAAATTGAAATAAGCAGTTGTAGTATTGCACTTACATTGTCATGACAAGAAGTTATCAGTTCCTTAAATAATTACATTTTTCTTGAGAGAAGCCCTTTTTTCTTCAATTGTTTCAGGGCACATTTGGCAGCAGTACACTTAGCAATGCGGTAATTTCGTCCTATGCCCTTAAAAGTACCTTTTCCAAAAACTTCTACAGTGACTCTTACTCTGCGACCATCAGCCAACTTTTCTGGTTTTCTGTAATAAAACATGTAATCATTTTTCAAAACTAACTCATAACAAATGCTAAAAAAATAAAATAAATACATAAAAAACTTTTTATCACAGTTCAGAACACTTAAAAGCTTCTACAACAATACATAGGATTTTACAAAGCTTCTCACAAAATGTTGAAAGTTTCAGGCTTATAAAAAATTGTTTCTACTTTGATGTCTCCAATATGAAACAAATTTTTGAAAAAAATTAACCACAAACACATTTTCTTCCATATTAATATAAGGCTACCAGATCTTCAGTGAATCTGGGGATAATATTTAACTTATAGGATTAAAAAGAATTATCACTCCTGGAAGATTACCAGATTTGTTATTGATTATCAAAAGTTGTCTGATTCGACATGATAAATATGTAGGGAACATTAAAGGAAATTTGAAAATTTTTGAATTCCATGACTGTCCTCAGGAAACAAGGAAGTCTCTTAACGTTGTATTACAATTACCTAATGACCTCAGAAATATACCCTCTTCCTTTACTTTGATCAACTCAGTGGGCAGAGAGGAGTATGGAATGTGAATGCAATTTCTAATTAATATTTCAGATAATAACACTAGGGAACAAAATGTTTACCTCCAGGAAGGTAGAGTGCGTTATATACTCAATTGTATACACAGATTACGAACATCACAAAAAAACCTGTCATATCACGTCACAGTTTTTAAATTTACTACATCTTTACACTTATCATACCATATTTTGCTATTAATGCAAATACACTTAAATCGCACCTGAAAGATATGCATAAAATTTATTTAAAAATAAAATATTGGTTCAGTTCATCTATGCCACTTTCATGAAACAACAAAAGAAATTACATATTCATGTTTTTACTTTATCTTCAGTATTCGAAGATTACTGGTGGTTAATAGGGCATGATTTTAATTGGTGATTACAGAAGAAATTTCCTCTGACTCATCTATATTTACTCTCCATGAAACTTCAAATCTCACAAAAAATGTGACATTAAAAAAGAGAAAACTATACACTAAATTCAATATTTTGAGGAGTATAAAGGATGGAAACTAAAGAATTCTTCTCAGCTCAAAATACTTTGGAGGAAAAAAGACCATTGATATCTGTCCTACATCAGATTTACTTATGATCATGAAATAAAGAACATTACTGAAACTTACCCAAATTTTGCTGTTTCAGGTTCCAATTCCAGAAGTTCTCTAATAGGTGATTTTGGAACATTTGTACTAAATTGTTCTGAAAAGAAGAAATTGGTTTTAGTTATAAATATTTCATTTTCACATAAAATTTGATAACCATCACAAAAATTAATACCTATTTCTCCTTTCATCATTCTGTAATAAACTCTCCAAACAGCATCCAATGACATATTACTATCCAGAAATATGGCTCCCGCTACAGACTCAAAAACATCACCTAAAGCCTTAGGAACTTCCACATCTTCTGCTTCCTCGCATTCTTCTTCTTCAATAAGATAATACTGAAAAAATAAAAAGGTATTTTAATACAAAACTTTCAGCAGAGCTCAGATTTGAAGAATTTAATTCAAATTCTAAATTTATCAGATTTGATTAATACATTTTTATTTCTTGGGAGGTGGCGGTGATCTTCGTCTGCTGGATGGTGAGATCTAGTGCCAACCTACCTATTGGCTACCAGGATTTTCCCCAACCAGGTATCTTTCATCAGCGGGGCACCACCCCAGTGGGGACAAGCTCTACCCTCCTGACCAGTCTCTCAGCAAGTGTGGTAGTGTAGTGCATGTAAGTGAAAGGGTTTGTCAGGGATGAGAACAGGACTAGGAAAGGGAAAGAAACTGTGAGCACTTCATGGCCCTTTTAGTTTGGGTACTGTTCCAGCATTCACCTGGTATCAATCGGAGAAGCCTCAGAAAACTACCTATCAAGGCAGCTAGCTGCTAGAATTCTCCTCCAGACACCATTAGAATTTGACCTAACTCTCTAGCTAGTGTCGAAAATCCTGCCTCTGTCACGACTTGAACTTAGGATCTCCCTGTCAGAGGCATGACACCCGTTGATACCCTGAACCACCTCTCCAGGTAATTTGAATAATTTGCAAGCTCTTTCATTGTATGAATTTTCTTAAAGGAATTTTTTTGTAACAATGTTCCCCAAAATGTGCATTTGTTTGAAGAAAAGGTTTCTTTAGGAGCTAAACAAGTAAAAGGAGTTGCAGCTATTAGTACTTATGTACGTCCAAGTAAACAAGAGTTTCTCACAGGCAATTTGTTGTCACTATGGAATTTAGTAGATTTTTGTGGTTTTGATACACAGGCTGTGCTAACAACTTGAAAATGAAATTGGGGGATAGCATTTTTCTGAAGGAATTCAGAGATTTGAATGAAACTTTGATACCAGCTTCGTGTATATTGTGTGCGACTTTTTTTGAAAGGGTTATAAAATAAGGGCAGCACATGTACTTGTCTGGTGTTTTTTGTAGAGAGTGTAGTGTACATTATTTGTTTCTGTTTGTGTATTTTGTAGCGTAGTATGTTGTTAATGAGCTCTGTGCTGTAACTGTTTGACACTACACAATCCATTACTATGTCAAACAGATCTTTTAGAAAAAAGCAGCGTCTATTCACCACATTGCCATGACAGCAAAGCCAAACATATTGATCAAACAGGCAGAACTTTTAACTCTAGAATTAAAGATCATATACACACTTGGAAACACAGTTCCTGTAAATCTCACTTTGCCAATCATACTCCAGACAGCACCCAGGCCATTAACCATCCTCCACCCTACAGTGGGGTATTGAAGTCCCTTGGCACATCTGAACCCACGTAGTCATTTTGTGGCTTCCATACAGTAGGTAAGAAACGGTTCAAAATACATTTCATGTTTTCTGTTACAAAAATTTCAAGTTATAAATTATAATAATCTATTTATCCTAATTTTTGTATTGTGACTCATATTTTAATGTTTTATATATTTCTTTAACTAGAAAACTGATGACGATGGCTAAGCAATAGAAAGCTCTTGTAATAAACTATATTGTTGGCACTGTCAACTAATAATATATTTTCATTTATAATCTCTGTTGAAATCTATGAAAATTATGTTTAAGTTGTTAAGTACAGAAGTTGAGAAAAGAGAAGAAAAGGAATCAATTCACTTTATGCATAAAAATCCAGAATTTCATTTTACATTCTGTCCCTACTAGGTACTTTACATGCATAGAGAAAATTTTCAAAAGCAGCAGCCAAGATCAGAGACTTTTCGAAAGAAAAAATCATATTGTGAGGTTCTGGTAATGAAAACTAGGATTAACCTCATTTCTTATTCATCCAATTATACAAAAACAATAATAACAATACAATATTCAACCAAATTTGAAACAGTTTAATAAATTTTATGTTTCCATCTTTCTGTATCATCTATTACAAGTATCATCTTCGTTTATTATTTTTCCATCAATATATTTATTATTTCTTGTTTCCATGATACAGGTGGTCTTCCTCGCTTCCGTTTTCTAAATGGTTCACAATCAAAAACTAATTTTAGTAATCTCCAATCTTCCATTCTTTAGATACCGCCAAAACCAGGTTAGTTGTTTTTTACGAATATACTCTATAATATAATGTAATACACTCATTTTTTTTCTAACTATTTAATTTCTAATTTTGTTTCTTTTTGAAATTTTTGATGATCTTCTACTATTTCTATTGCTAATAATTTTCCTTTCAACTGTGACTTTGATATCCAAACATCTGATCAACAAGCCACGATACTTCCAATTATAGTTTTAAATATTTTAATTTTGGTCTCTTTTGTGATACATTTATCCCATAAAATACTACTTAAAATTGAAATAGTCATTTTCCCTGAATTAATTTTTTACCGAATTTCTTCAAACTTTCTTTCCTATTATTGGTAATTTTAACTCCTAAATCCTTACATTGTATGGTATGTATAATTTTCCCCATTTCTTCTTCTAAAAACATTTTTCCTATTGTCTCCAATTACCATTGTATACAAATTGTATAATTACTACTGTACTTCGTTTTCTTCATATTAATTGGCAGATCCAACATTTTATATTCTTGTATTAATTTTGTCAAATTCTGAATTGTCCAAATCTTGTGCTATTGTCATCTGATCACCAGCAAATTGAAAAATATTAATTGTGTCATTTACTGGTAAACCCATTTTATTACACTTTTTCTTCAAAATTTTCAATATAAACTAAACAGCGAGTTTGAAACTGATATTTTAATTTTTAGGGAGTACTTATTGTTAGTGCTTATTTTTAGGGAGTTTTTTTAGGGGAACCCTCCAATAAATTTTCAAAATTTTCTGAAAAATTGTTTTAAATTTTTGATAAAACTTTATCCTTGGGTAAAATACAGGAAGATTTAAAAAATGCACAGATCTCATTTTCAATGAAATCTTTAAATTTGTTGAAAATGTCAGACGTTCAAAATTTTTGGGCTTCTTCCTACAACAAGAATATTAAAGATTTTTTCCTTAATGGAATCCATGACGCACTTCCAAAGAAAAGTTTTTCCTTTATGCAATCTGTTGTTCAAAACTAGATCTTCAAATAAGGTCATGTACAACAATTCGTAAATACGAGTAGTTTTAATGTAATTTTGCATTACCGGGACTTCAATAATTCTATTTCCTGGAACAAATTTCCCTGACTTTTTCCAGGTTTTCCAGAGTATTTTAAAAGGATTCAATGATAAGATTTGAAGAGTATTACACATTACTTAAAGAAAATATTAAAGTAAGGTTGAAACTGTTCTGCCAGCTTTGAGGTCACCATGATGAAGTACAAATTAAGCAAAAACACACAAATCGGAATTAAGCAAAAAACACTGCTGTACTATTTTTTAAAGAATAATACCTAGTTTTACAACATCTCAACACTTTCCATGACTTCCAATGATTCTTCCACAAATTCTCTGACTTTCCCATGAAATTCCCTGAATTTTCCATGTTTTCTAGAAGGTGGCCACCCTGGTGAAATATAGTCAATTTTTAAACAATTATTTTCTCAAAAATGGCACTAACAATTCACACTTAAAAAAAAGTAGTGCAGGTCTATTTTTTGGCAAATTCACTGTATTTTTGAAGATTACAAAAAACTTATCATTGATGATAGAGTTAAAAAAAAAAAAAAATTAAATAAAAATCTCCGAAAACTGCAAACATTAGAAATCATGCAAGAAAGTATGTGTTGTTGTAACTCTACTCATGAAACCAAATTCATGCAGATATTTCATCTAATTGCTTGATGTAGACACCAGAAATTTTAACATCCAAGATATCTTAAAATTTCTTATTTCCCACCTCCTCGCTGATGGTATGTCCATTTTCTTCTTGTATTCGAACAAATCTATCCACAACATCATTAAGACCAGGTGATAAATGTCTGAAAAATTTATGGAATCCATGACGCACTGCCAGAGATGCAAAAATGGTATTATTCACTAAAGCAGACCGAAGATCTGTCAATGCTCCTGGTGAATGTTGCCGTGAATCTTCATAGAGATGTCTGGTAATTAAGTAGTCTGTGAGCAATGAATATTCTCTTAGAAAAGTGCCAAATTATTTACCACATTGATATAATTTATAATGGAATAACCTTACCCAGCACAGCATCACCTAGAAACTCTAAACGTTGGTAACAGTCTGTAAGTCGATTTGGTGAATATGAAGCATGTGTCAGAGCTTGTAATAAATAACTACGATCTCGAAATCTGTATCCAATGCGTTTCTCAAATGCTTCATAACCATCCAAGAGCTTATTTAACTCTCCTTCTGGATCAGACACATGACGCAAAAGTGGAGACCGTGGAGCTTTTAAACTTCCATACTGCACCTACAAGTGAAAATAAGAATAATAATCAAACAAAGAAAGGCTTTAAGGATGCACAACTTTCAAAGACAACATATTCCTGAATATAAAATTACTTATCTCCTTGAATTTTTCATTTAAATATTTCATAGATTAAGTCAAAGACAGATTGCCTTCTCTTTAGAGAAACTTAAATACTTATGTTGCAAAGTTGATAATTCACCACCTACTTAATAATATTTGTGGGTGATTTTTTGATATCCACTGCAGATGTGCCAAGTGATACTGAACAATATTTTTGAATGGGTTGGCAAAGAATAAATCCCAAATAAAAGATACTGAAGTAAGTGAAATACAAAGTGAAAATGAATGAAAATTGTGACTAAGATTTTATTGAGGTACAGGAATATGAATTCACAGTTCACAACTCCATTACAGGCATTAATGTGAATTTCAAGTTTATGGTTGTTAAAGCAAACAACAGTGCATGAATAAGAGATCAATTTAACAAACGTGATAAACATTTTTCCAGAGATCCGCTATGCTAAAAGCACTGTGGAGCAGAATTATCCATTCTGCTTAAAAATCTCCAACCAACATCAGAACTTAACTCAAGTCATAAACATTAAAGCATTGTTATGGTATATTTAAGTATCTATTAATCAAGAATACAAGACTACCTGCTTCCACACAACATTTCCATCTTCTTCCGTTTTAACTTCTGGCAAACTGCCAACTTTCCTATTTTCACCAGTCTGTTGAGATAAGGTTACTTCTTCTTTAGGTAAAACGCAAATTCCTAACCAAGCCATAAAAAGAAGGGCCCCTCTTGGACCACAAGCTATAAGGTAGGCTCCGATAAGAGCTTCCACACAATCTGCCACACTTTTATCTGGAATGCTATGCTGAGTTATCAGATTGTATGGAATGAAACAGGGAAGACTTTCCACTGATGTTCCTGAAAAAGTATCACATTCTTGGCTTAAAAGAGCAGCATATCAGTGAAACACTACTCATTTTGATATACTGGTTCCTGGGAGAAGTGTCTTATTCAGAGAGGTGTTAATTACAGTAAGGTGCCAAATAGAGTTTACTGTAATATCGGTTTCCAGGAAAAGGTGCCCTCTGAACAGGAGAATAAAAAGTAAAGGAACCATGGAATATGATAACACTTATAAATGGTGTATTATTAACACATGAAGAAATGTAACTCCAGAAAAAATCATAAAACACACAAAACTTATTAATGCCATTAAAATATTTCTAGTCAAAATTAAATCTGTACCTCCATGCTGAATTTAATTTACATAATTACTAGTGTTTAATAAATAGCATTCAGAATAATTCATACAAAATATTCATAGGCATTGGGAAACATCAAAATAATTTTAAATCCTTTATCTCTGATGTGAAATTCAGAAAATAAAACTGAAGGTAAACTTTGGTACAAAAAACAAGTAATGCAAAACTTCGATTAGTAACTGTCATGAATTTAAATGTTTTGGAGAGATCCACTTACAAAAATTGCAGCTGTCCATTTACCTATTAAAGGACAATATTAAGAACTACCATTAATTTCGTTTGTTTTGAATTTTTCACAACTGTTGACATTGAGCTCTTTAAACTTCCTGGCAGCATTGTCATAAGACACTTGAAAGACAAGGTTGTTATTATTCACTTGGGAGTTTCGTTATTATTAACAAGACTGAGAGTCAATTTAAGGGAGTTCTGTACAAAAACATCAAGCTGCAGAAGGGAGTACATTGTGAAGAACTTTCATGAAACTCAAATGAAAATAGAAGACAATTATAATGGAAAATTATGGATTAATGAAAGAATAATATCAGAATAAAAATGTACAGAGGGCCCTAACAACATGTCAGAAGAAGGTAAAAAAGAACAGAAGTTTTTTTATGAACAACTACAAGTGAAAACAAACAAGAAAAATCCTCTTATAATAAGTGGGGGATTTTAACGCATACGCATTGGTATGTAGCACACCAATACAAGAAATAATGTGAAATTGTGGAGAAAATCTACATTCAAATGGTCAAGAACTTCATCAATTTGCTAGCCTAAATCACTTAAAAGTGTCAAATATCTTTCTTAGGAAATGAGTTATTCATAAGTACACATGGACAGCTTGAGGATGTAGATCAATTATAATCGACTACTTTGCAATTAATGATAAATTGAGACCACAAATGAAAGAACTCAAACAACGTGATATTGGTTCAGACCATTATTTACTGCCAGCAGAATTCAGTCTTTTGGCAAAATCGAAAAAACTAAGAACCAGATAAAGTGATGCAAGAAGAAATGTATTAAGTGCAGCTAGTCCACAATGAAACTGTTAAATTACTATAGTAGCAAAGACTTCAGCAATACCTCCTAGATGCCCCATCTAATTGAATGTTAGAAAAGGAATGGCAAAATATTCCCAAATGTATAGATAAAGCTGCACATGACGTGTTGGGAAAGAAGAAGAAAATAAAGAGTAGAAAAGGCCGATCAATTTGGAATAAAGAAATTGTAGAAGTTGTCAAAGTTAAACAAACCACATATTTGCAATGGATACAAAAAAATGTCGATAAAACAAGACGTTTATAAAGAGAAACGTAAGTATAAGAATGGGAAGGACTAACAGACGGGTACTGTTAGTCCTGAAGTTAGTACTGTAGGAACAACTAACAGAAGGGTACAGAATGATACAACTGACAAATTTCTAAGGTCCTTCAAAAGGTAACTTCTCCTGTTCAATCCTTGCCTTTCTTCTCCAGCATAACAATGTGCAAATAAGATATTTTCATACTAGTACAATTATTATTATATGACAGGTTATAATAGTGCAGGAACATACCAAATTGTATTATCTCCTTAATTCATTTCAATTCTTAATATATTTTCAACCTTTCGAACTTACACCTAAGACATGCAGAATTAAAGTTCATAAAGTTCATTTAATTAATAGAGAAAATATAACGATGACAAAAGAAAATGTTAAAAATTGTTCAAAACATATTATATCTTGTCAGAAGTTAATACATTTTGATGTGTTGCTCCTTGATACATAAATATGTATTGAGGAGCAACAGAATGGGAATTGTTTTGGGAATTCCATTAAAAATAAAATAGCAAAAAATAAATCATGCATTTGATCGAAAATAATACCTTCAGGAGCTGTAAGAAGAGCAGAAGCAACAGTAGGATGCGTCAATTCCTCTCCTTCAGTAATAGCTCGCAACTGCTCTCCTCTTTCTCGTACTAGAGCACATATCTCATCTCGTGTCATTTCCCGTAAAGCAGGTAAATCAGCCCTGTTCCAATGACTCGCAGGAACTCCAGCTTCAATGAGGGCTTGCTCAAGCTCACGAGGAACATAGTAGCAAGGAGGCAGCCAATTGTCATGTGGCTCAAATTTGGTTGCAATCATGCTCTCGCCAAAGACTTTACGACGTCCTAACCGGTACAAATTTAAGTTGCTAACCTATACCACAAAGAGATATAATTATTGTGCAGCTTATCTACAATTTTTGTAATATTTTAGTCACCAGATGTGAAAGCTTACATTTGGTTTATAATCCTTTAGTTGGTTAAATCAACTACATACATGAAGTTTGCTTACAGATCTAAAGGGATTATAATGCATATGTACTAAAATTAACTTTTTAGAAAATAGTAATACTTGAAAAGAGATAAATCTTATCTTCTACATTCAAAAACTTATGGTTTTCATCATTCCAACAAATCTGTCTGTGTTTTAACACTTAGCCATGCCCTCAAGATTAAAGGGATTAACAAACCCAGAACCTGAGACGTAGTGCGTTTATCCTCTGCCATCTTTAATCTTTGTGTTTAAATCCATGCATGTTCTCATTTTGTTGTTTTTGAAAGCGAGTGTGTGGTTAAGGGAGGGGGTGATATTTCAATGGTAGGACCATTATAACAAATCTCTTGCTCGTTTTCTGATACAAATAATTTTCATTACATGAGAGTGAAATTTCTTGATCAGATACATAACACTTATTGGTGTCATTCAAAATTCAACTTTTGTTGAAATGGACGGGAAGTAGGTATTCTGGAGCTCAAGAAAATGTGCGAGTAAAGTACGTGTTTCATTAACTTTGAAAGCCTAAGGTGGTTAAGTTTTTTCTGTTAATTTGCTATTATTAAGGCTTGTGAATTATTTTCATGTAATTTTGTTTTTATCTATTTGGTTTTTATTTGCAATTAAATAAGTTTGTCTCAGTGTATTTGTGCATTATTCGATGGTACATTAGCTCCATTCCCTTTCGTATTGTTTTTAAAAACGGAATATCAAAATGAAAATAAAACATTTATGCGTTTTTTGGTATCACTTTGTCCCACTTTCAACCTCAATAATTTACTGTCACCAGAAACACATGAATGAGATAATTCCACTGCAATATTCTAAACAATTCATACTATACAAAAATTCCTGATTACTATACTTTTTTAGAAAATTAAATAAACCAGTATGAAATAAAATAAAATAATTTGAGATATTTACCTGCTTGGACCTCAAGTGGCTCAGCTTCCCTTCATGGATATTATCATAGGTGCAATATAAGTATGTGGTGATGGCATACTTCAGAAATGAATCTCCAATTGTTTCTAGGCGTTCTAAGTTAATCCCATCATTGGCATTTGACATTGTGAGAGCCTGAAGTATGATACTGGGGCTTGGTCCTGCATGACCATTCAAATCTGGTTGGGCATCAAAACTGAACTTGCTAATTATATCGGTTTCTTCATCTCCTCCTTCCCATTCGTCCATTTCCATTAAATCCTCAGAATCGGAGCCAAGGGGATCTGTTCTAGAAGTTCGAGACATTTCGTCTTCTGAAATTCCACTGTCTGCATTAGGTTGCTTTTGATCATATCCCACAGATTTCAGTGACTTAAAGATAATAAACTCTCCAGCAATAAAATCTGCTTCTTGATTGTGAGTCAAAGGCTGTGTCAAGTCAATGTGACGTCGATCAAGTTTCTGAGGCATTACTTCTACAAAAACACTTGGAACTTGTGTACCCTGAGCAGACTTCCTAGCAATAGTGAGAGATTCATTCTTATTAAGTAAAATTCCACTATTATGAATCAGCTCTTCATTAGTTTTCGTTGCATTTTCAAACTGCTGTTGGTATTTCAGAGTCAAATCTTCTAGTTCTTCATCCTCATCTTCGTCTTTACTTTTCTCATCCCAGTCCCAAGGAATATCACTTTCCATGCCATTTGCTTCCGAAGACCTCACAGCATTTCGACGTTCTCGCTTTTGAGCTTCCTGTTCATCTTCAACAGCTTCTGCCACATTGTCACTCTTAAATTCAATTCGCAAACCGGATGTGCCTTGCAAATCACTGCTGTCAGACTGGTCAAAATCATTGCCTTGCTCACTGTACGAATCATCACTTTCAAAGCCATCCAATTCTTGCTCCATGCCCCCAAAACCTCCTCCCATTCCCCCGAAACCCATCCAACTACTAGGAGATCCATAACGAACATAGTCCTTTCGTCGAGCACAAATACCTGTCCCCCAATCGCTGCCTCCTGCATGCAACTGCATAAGTTCATCGTCTTCACCAAGAAGAGTCAAGTTTGACGGAAGTGCTACATTGGGATCAAAATCATCTATAGGCAAATCAAAAGTCTTAGGTTGTTGGTTAGCCATTTCATTAGACCATGTTCCTATTTCCATCCAATCACCCTGAAGTTTCTTCTCTTCTTCTGTAAGTATTTCATTAGCAGACTTTTGCTTTTGATCTTTATCTTCTTCTCCACTGTTATCCTCATTGACAGCACCGTCTTGCTTTTCTACTTTGTCCTTAATATTATCATCATCTGCTTTTATACTGTTTTCATCGTTGCTACTTTCTTTTGGTTCTCCTTTCTCTTTAAGTGCATTTTTTGCAGCATTTTCTTTAGATTTCTTTAAAACATCAGCTAAACTCCAACCAAAATCTAATGGTGGCCACTCAAAATCTGAAAATAAAACAAATGTGCATGAAATAAATTTCTAATAACTGTACTACTTTAAGGAAATAAGTTTTTAAACCCTTGTTTACCATTTGATAGTTGTTGCCTTCCCAAACCAACGCTAGCAGCTACTTGACAACGAATTTGGTCAGCAAGCAATAAAGCATTGACCCTGTAGAGTACACATGGCAAACACACTGCTTTTCGCCATAAAGATGCTGGAAATGGATGGACAGTACACAATTCTGGAACTAATATCTGCTTTTGTTCCAAGTTTTCACGTTTAGCTCTCTTAGTTTCCTCACTGCTTGTAGGTAATGCTACACCTTTCCTATTCACATACCTGTCCCAAAAGAATAAGGAAAAAATTAGAATGTGAAGAATGATTTTTAAACTACACTTACAAGAGACCTGAAAGACCTCTTCGTTGGCATAGGAAAAATTGGTGGAGAAAATACATTGAACAAAATTACCCCTTCTGTTTTACCAAAAAACCAGAGCACTTTTCCTTCAAAAGAAACTTCATCCTTCTATTGGAGACCAACAATTATTACCTGTAAGTTATTAAAGTGTGATACTAACACCCAAACATCAATGAGTGGATCAGCACAAGTTGTTTATATCAAAAGATATGGCAGAATCAGCTGCTGGGATGGGATAGTGCACTTTACAAATTTGTCGCCATACTCTACAAATCGGCCTCCATGATTCTCTGGAAATATGTCCTCCCCTCTACAAACAGGCACCCTCACTGTAGACATTAATTTAGTGTTTTGTGCCACATTTAGTGTAATATTGAAGAATGCAATCAATTTCAATTTTTCATTGACTACTACTATAACATAAACCACTTCCAAAAGAGGTTTGTTACAAAACAAACTTACAAGGGGACAGAAACATTAATACTTCTATCAATATTGGCCCTATCATTCCTGCTGGCTGTATAAAAAAGTCCTAAAATTGCAAGAAATATATGTTACATTCTTTCATGCCATCTTAAAACACTCTTGAAAGAATTTAAAATATTAAAATCTACAATAAGATCAAAGAGTTTAAATTAATCAAAAATTAAACCAACAATATCATCTAAAAATGTATACAAAAATACTTTTTAGAATGGAAAATTAAAACAATAATTTTCTAGACTTTCTAAAGCTCAGGTTTTTACCTTGGAGTTAAAAAATTCAATCTGGCAGATGTATGATCTACATCAAGCAGTGGTTGTTTACTATTTTGTATTTGAATATTGTATTTCTTGAAATAGTATTCATCAAATGTTTTATATTCCGAGCCAGGGAAAGATGACTTGGGATTGAGATGTCCACATATTTCAGCAACATAGAAATACTGAAAAAACAAACCTTGTCAGTTACTTCTGAAACTTCCCAAATTTGTTAATAAAATTTATGCAAAATAAATATGGAATTTACTTGTGGTTGATCCTGATTACGATACCACGGCATAATAACAGCATCATGATATTTAACAGGATCAAAGGCAAAATTTGCACGTTCTTCTTGAGGTACAGGTCTTGGACGCAAATCTCTATTTTCATAAATCCTATCCAGAAAGTCCCAATCAACTTCGGCTGGACTGTCTTTGTCCTCTAGGAATAAAATAAAACAAATATAGGAACTAACCAAACAGTACTTCTACAAAGTCACCTGAATATCTACATATAAATAAATAAACATACCTTTCTTTGTAGGAATGATGAAGTAGGAATTTTCAGAAGCCTGTGGATCGAACATCATCAGATACTTTTGAAGCCTTAAAACACTTGTAAAAGTGTAATTCAAGAAAGCTACAATCTTTTCAATTTTCTCTTCAGTCAACAAAACCTGAGTTTCAGTAAGTTCAAGTTTGACTCTGACTTCTCCCGAACGAGTGAAAATAGGAAATGGGCAAATCTAAAAACAAAGCAACACAAATGTATTACATAACATATTCATTATTTGAAATGTATAAACTTTGATGCAAATATCAAATACATTTCAGAATTAAAATGATTGATGCAAATCTTAAACTTGTAACAGCACCTGACTAAAAATTCCTGGGTGGTTTATGTAGACAGATTGATATTACTTGTAGATTATTAATGTTGAGAATCATTAACAGATAAAAATTATTTTTGTACAAGAAATGTTCATTATATCCAACATAAACAATGTGGATTTTAGATTTTCGTTTTATTAATTGTCTTAAAGATAATTTACATTCTACTTTTTACTTTAAACAACTTGCATTGCAACTTAAAAAAAAAAAAAAAGAAAGAAAAAAAATATATTATAAAACCAATACAAACAGACGATCAAGAAGATAGCTGTAATATGAATTTCAGTTCATGCCTTTACCTATATTTTTTTAAAACTCACCTTAGGAATTTCCTTTAAAGTTAAAATGCCAAATCCTTGCATAGAATCTTCCGGTGGATATATTTTCCTTCCACGTGTATTCTGTTCTTCTGGAAGTGGACATGTCAAAACCATACTGATGTAATACAAAAAGGCAGGTTGCCCTGGAGTTGGTCTGCAGTCAGTTAGGGCATCTGCTATCTGAAATCATCACATTACTGATTAGGTAATTAAGAAAAAGTAGATTTTAACAATGATGTAATGTACCTATCTGCTGCTTTCATAACAATTAAGATTTTTCAATTTAATTTTAAAATTTTTTATTATATTTTATTTAAAGCCACATAAAATTATGTAGTTATTAATGACCATATTGCAATTTTTTTATTAATTTAAGTTACTGTACACACAATAACATTACATCATATCATACATGATTGATTCTTTTAGTAATAATATTAAAATTATTACTACATAATAATAAACACACAAAAAAATGGTATAATTTTTCTAAAAATATTAAGTTTTTTATTTTTTTTCTCTTTTTGGTATTTGAACATTCCAGTATTACATGATGAATGGTGCATCGGGAGATGCAGAAGGTATATATGTTAGGATTTGTTTTCTTAAATACATTTTCATGGGTTAGCAGTGTCCAATTCTCCATTGCATATTAACAGATTCAGATCTTCTATTACATATTATATTATTGCTTTAACGAGTTGCTTTTAATTCAAAACTATTACGTCTGAACTGATTAATTTAGTTTGACTTTTTTTTTTTAATTAACCATTCTGTATTCATGGAATGTTGGGTGATTTGATTCATTTGAAAGGGATGATGCTATTTTTATTGTTCTAATCAGCTGGAATTTTGACATGTGAAAGAGAATGGAACAGGAAGGCACTCATGGCACAGAGCAAAGGCACATGTCTTTCACCAAGGAGGTCTGGGTTTGATTCCTGGACAATGTCTTATGAAATTTTTTCCAACAACCCCTGTGAAGCATCCTAAACCCTCCCCCATCCGAATTCCTTCCCAATTCAGGCTAATATGTAGTGACCCAGGAGTGTGTAGTGTACGAGGCACAAATGCGGTTCTTGCTTGTTATCTGGTGCTCTTGATCAACTGTGACAAGATTTGACAGATATTATGAATCTTAATGGAGGATTAATGTTGCACTCCTATGCACATATCATTAATCATAACGGAGGATTACTCCTAAGCGCAAAGCATTTAATGCTCGACACAGTCGATACTCAATCTAGACAAAGAGTAACAACTTCAAATCCATCCATCTATAGTTTATTCAGGTGAAATAATTTGAGAGTTCATTGAAATGAAGTATACTTCGATTGGTTCCTTATTTTTATTTTGATGGATTCAATGGTGTTTCTCTTTAAGTTAGTAAATAAGGCAAAATTTGAATTGCTTGACTTTAGGATTTCAGCTAGGGTGGATTTAATGGCAAAAACTTCAATGGTGACATATCAGGTAATCTATATAATGTGACTTTATCTGGAAATATATTGCACATCCAGTTCCTCGCGGTATAATTTTGATCCATTGGTATAAATGTAAATGCTGTCTTGGAAAGTGGTTGGTATATTTTGGGATTTGTCATTTTCATGACATATTCTGTCAGTGATGTGCTTTAAGGAGTTCTAATGGTTCAGAGGGAGTTTAAATTCATATACTGGAGGAATATCAGGATAAATTCTTGTTATTTTGAAAGTGTTCAACAGCACTTTCATGACCCAAGTGCGAGAGGTGCGTTGCACCAGATCGATAAAAAATGAGAATACTTATTTAAAACTTTGAATGAAAGAAAACAAAAGTTGTAATATATAGCAAAGAGCAATACACTTTGGCCCTGCAAATTACTAAACTATGTAGAAGTATAACCATACATTCAAAAAGTTTCATCTTTCACCAATCACATGAAATAAACAGAACAATTTATAGAGCGGCATTGTTCTGTCTGTCCTCCTGTGTATCTGTGGTTGATGCTAGCACCTAAGCTGTTCTTAAAAATTGATATTCTCTCATCGAGCTGGAGGAACTTAAAGCCCTATGAGTCAGACGGATATGTCAATTTTTTGCAGTACTTTACATGAACACACAATTTCGAAATTTTCTCAAAAATGACTTCAATTTTTTATGGAACATTGTCTTTTGATAGCGAACTCTTAAAAGAAAAGTACAGATTTCATTTTCATTCAAGTTTCAGATTTTTCAAGAATTGCCAAAGATCAACATTTTTTGGTGACTTTCTACAATCATCTCGTATATTACTTCAGTAGTATACATAACTTTTGTGATTCGTACATGCAATCAATCTTTATAAATGAGCTCTCTAAAGAAGGAGAATGTCACGAAAACATGATGAATTGCACGTTGACTTTAAAAATATGAAGGATTTGTTTACAAAAACGCATCTAAATATTCATGTCAGCATTATAGGGCCTTAAAAATTAAAATTATGAGGCCAAAGGTCTCAAAGTAACATTCCTCACACATAGGATAACATATTCTTGGACATTCTATTAAATTTTTGCTCGTTTGGCACTTATCGATATAACGAATGCCACCTAGATTTCAACCCTTGGTGATGATGGCCGTCATTAGAATTCATGTATCATAAAAGAACTTTGTACGATGAAAAAGTAATAAACTAACCTGGCCATTCCCTAATATTACCTTGTATATTACAAATTTTGACAGTAGAAACCAGTGGAGAAAGATCATTTTCAAATTTAAAAATTATTAGTCTAAGAATGATCAACCATGTCACAAGAAATATTAACAGGTCTGGTAATAATACCAATTAAAAGTGAAATCTGCAACAATATTTGTTTATAGATTCATAAAAAAATGCAAGTTTAAAAGTTCAAAAAGTGCCTTATTTTATATTCTACATAGATATTATTTACTATTTAAGAAATCTATAATAACACTATAACTACTAATAAATACTATTTTAAAAAACTAAACGTTCTTACTATTAAAAGTATGTAATTAAGGTATTCCCTTTGAAAGTGGCAAAATGTACTTGCATCAGGGCAGCAAATCTGTGCTTGCATCAGGACAGCCCTGATGATCAACACTTGATTTTGGACATTGGGTGTTTTGAGTTTCAGGATACTTTGAGAGCATATGATATACAAAGTTTATCACTATTGTAGGTTAATGGGTCTTCTCTTGATTCAGCCAGAGCTGAATCTTACTATCAGGACTCATACAAAATGGGTAATCCCAAAGGCCAAACCCCAGCAGGTGTTATGAATTACATTTAGTTAATTCCTTATGTTGCCTTTTGTACAGGAAAAAATAATTAAGCAGAAACTTAATTTAATTCTTGTTATTACTTGACATGTGCTTAGTTTTATTTGTTTAGTAATCATTCAGTTGGAACCCCAACTGAATGATTATATAATTTTAATGATATTTAATCTCTTGAGACATTCTGATTTAAATATGAGTTTTCCATTAACGTTTTTCATCAAAGTCTAGGCCTAAGATTTTAACAGAATTAGATCTTTTGATTAGATCATAAAAATTATGTGTGAAGAAATACTTGTACATTTATTTATTATACTAAAATTATACCATCAGATTTACTCTTCAATATTTTGAACCCAGAGTTGTTGGCCAAATTGTTCATCTTATTTATTGTTACTTGTTTGATATCTTTGAGTTGTTTAAAGGTTTTTCCTGTGTAATGATATCAACAGTACACAGAAATATTCATTGGAGAAGTTTTAAGACTTGTGACTTTGTTTATTGCAATCACAAAAAGGATTACACTTAGAACAGATCAATAAGGTATTCCTTTTTATACTGAAGTTTCATCTGATAAACTAGCGTTCATTTAAACTTGGATTTTGTAGTTGGTCACAAAGTTTCTGATGAATTTTAAAAGTATACCATTGATGCCCAGGTTTTTAAGTATTATATATGTCATTTATATATGTCATTTATCAATACTCTCAAACAAATATTCTACAAGCGTGGAAAACATGAAGTCAGACACCACATCCTGGGCTTTTTAAACTCTGTGACTAGCTCCCAAAGATCCTCAAAGCAATTAGTATTTTTATAAAATTGGATTTTAATGACCAAAAGCATTGCTAAAAATGATCAATAAAATGCTCTTAAAATATATTTAAAATGCCCTAAAAGCAAAGAACAATGACGTAAAAAATGATCAAAACCAGTTTGGATGAACAACTCAAGCTGGATATGTTACTCAGGAACCTTAGATTACATACAACAACTGACATTAAAATTTCCGAGGGAAGAAATCGAATAGATTACTCCTGAATTCTGTGGAAAATATTTGTTGTATCTCGTAAATATAATTTGAAGCAAGTACCAATGAAATAATATTAAATCAATGAAATCAGCGAAAAATGCATTAAAAATAACAGAAAAGTGTCAAAAATGACGTATTAGCTGAAATTAACAAAAAATGCAAAATAAATAAATAAATTATAAAAATGGATCACTTCCTTTCGTCACAACATAAAATTAATTTCTATACTAAACAGCATTGTTCTAAACTGAAAAGGAAAAAATGACATTTCATTAAAATCTGCCCCTACTTATGACTTACCCTCTTATAGTAGTATTGCCTTCGTTTTGTGGTCCCTGGTCGTGGCTCTGAAGCATCTCGAGCTGCAGCTATTTCTTCCAGCTCCTCGAGCACAATTCCTGACGCCAACTCCTCTTCCTCCTCTGGCACGCGAAAGCCCTCTTTCCCTACAGGAAGCAGGTTGTCGTCCAATTCGCGTGCTTTGTGTAGTATCCTGCAGGCCTCCAAAGCTGCAATGCGCCTGGCCAAGACACGAGTAGGCATTGGCAAGCCCTGATCCAGAAAAAAGAAAAGAAAAAACTGTCACCTCTTTATTCACAAGAACCTAATATTTCCTCTATATACTAAATGATTGATTTGGCAATAAATCCTTATGAAGCCTTATTTTAATAATTTTTCTTTCTTTCAAATTACTGCTACCCTTATCAAACATAAATGACAGCTGGTGCACATCATAAAAACACAGTGTACAAGATTTCCCAAAATAATTCTATATTACAGCCCTGAAGAATAAAGAAACATAGGAAGACACAAAATGAAGAGGGAGAAACAGAAACACTCAAAGGACCAATCCACTAAGCCTACAGCAAGCACTTGAACAGACTTTATATAGCTACCAATGAGTTATAACTGGTTAAATATTCTTGGGGTCACATTTACTAAGAATAAAAACACTAAATTGTATAAATTGTACTCTTAGCCACTTATAAATCAGAAAAAAGGAAGTATCAAATGATAAAAAGTGGCTCTAATTCTCAACTTGGTGGTTTTTGATGACAGCATGCAACAGTTTCTATGCTTTCATAATAGTTTTAAAACATTACTAAAATAATGATAGATATAAAAAGTAATGCTCTGATAAGTTAAAATCTACAATTAGATTTACCTGCTGAACCCATCACATTAGTTTCTCTTTTGTTTTGCTAATAACCTTTGTTTCATAATTATTTTCCCATTTCTGTTGGTCCACATAAAGATCACTTTAAGTTGCCAAAAAATTTTACCCCTAAAATACTTTTTGTTAAAAAAGACCGCCAGATCTGATGCTGACCTACACATCAGCTAGCTGGGTGTTCCCCAGCCAATATCTTCCACCAGCGGGGTACCGCCCCAGATAGGAGGACATGCTCTAAGTTCCTGACTGGTCTCCCGGCATGTGTGGTAGTGTAGTGGAAATATGAGTAAGGGTTGGCGATAGCACAGGGAAGAAGAAAGATTGCATATGGTCTGTGGCTCATTTGTTAGATACTGGTCAGGTCCACGCCTGGTGTTCATCACAGAAATCGTGGAAAACTGCCGATCAGAGCAGCCAGCTGCTAGAATTATTCTCCAGACAGTGGCTGAATTTGACCTAGCTATCTAGTTAGTGCTGAAAATCTCACCACCGCTGGGACTTGAACTCTACGACCTCCAGGTTGGACACTGCTGCGAAATTAATTGATGCCCGGAGCCAACCATGGCCACCAGTCCAAATGTTGAGATATATGCTTCTTTTTTTCTCCAAAATTGTTTCAAAATCGATTTTTAATATTGTGATATTATGCACATTTGGCGGAAATGATATAAAAAATACATCAATTACCTCCTAAGTGTCCAATATTTATGTAAGTAACAGTGGCTATGCAAGTGGCAGTCATGGTGGCCAAAGAGGTCCGACTCCTTTCGCAGTTATTTTTTTGTAATTCCGATGTATGTATTCACTTTTCAAGAGAATAAAGGTAATTTTTCCAGCACTTAGTAAAATAAGTGTTTTATTTGATACTTCAAACTTAAATAATTCCAATCAATAAATGTCTATTTTTACAAGAATTTCACAATTCATCAATAAACTTAAATAAAAGAGTTCATGGAGGATGCACATTAAAATTTAAAAGATGCTTACCACAATATCTTGTTTCACGGGAGAGTTAATTGGAAGTCTTACAGTACAAATGTAAATTGTCTGGTCAGAGCTTCTAACTTTCCTTGTTGAGCACATAGGTGTCAGTCTTGTGAAAGTATCACTGGGTAGTTTTGCACAGTACCTGCAAAAAAGCATTGCTCCTAGAAGATACTTGCAAATGAAATGGCTGTAAAAACTATCAAAAACGAATTAAACTAGCTTCAATGTAAATAAGCAATCATGAAATCTAGTAAATACGCAGTGAAACTTCTTTATAACGTTCCTCTATATAATGTTTTCCTCATTGTTATATCAATATTTTCCAGTCCTGACTCAAAGCTCATATTCCCAGTCTTCCTCTTTATAGAGTTTCCTCTGGCAAGAATTCACGGTCCCTTAAAAACGTTATATAGAAGTTACGCTGCAAACAAAAATAATATACAAGATTTAATGATTTTACAAAAGTTTTTAAAAAGTCCCCATGTTTCAAACTAGTAAATATTCAATTACTGGTGTAATAATACACACAGGCCATGTTGTTAGCGTAATTATTGTAACCCACAATTATCATCGTTAACTTTGAAGACACTGAGGAGGCTATTGCACTACAAGCACAATACATAATGTAGTTTCAATATTGGGCACATTAAGTTCAAAACATAACTGCAAAACAAGCACATTTATAAGAATACTAAAAATAAATTTGAAAAGGAAGGAAAAGAAAATTACCTGTTGACTAGAGTGACTGCTGTTGCCATGTTAACAGAGGCATTACTAGGGCTATTGATAGGACTGTATGCCTCAATGCAGTCACTGTATTTATCTGCTTCCTGTTCTTCATCCTCAGGAGGTTCTCGATTGGCACATTTTCTTAACAACATCTATTTGAAGATAAAACAAAAAGAAAAAAACTAATCCCACTTAAATAAATATTTATTTAAGTTTTTATTCTCAATTTCAACAAGTCACACAATAAACTAGTAGTGCTACAACAGCACTTATTATATCACATTATTTACTTTATTATATCACATTATTACCACTCGTTAAACACATAGGTTTCACATTAATACTATCACCCATTTTAAGATATAAGATACATTCAAAATTTGTTCCAAAAAGTTACATTTTTCTTGTACATACGGAAAGAAATAGTGTAAGTATTAGATATTTAATATATAAGAATAACTATTAAATAGTTGATAGGTATTTATCATATGATTATTAAGTAGTAAAAAATTACTGAATCAATTCACGATTATTTGAAAAAAAATTATTAATGGATGAAATGAAGATATACTTTTCTAAAATTATCAGAAAGTTAATTTGTGATGTTTCTGCCAAATTAAGGCCATTCCCTCTTGAAGGTGATGGCAGTCTTTTTATACTATCCTACAAATGACTTTCGTAACGTTAAAATAACAAAACATTAAGAGGCATGGAAAGATGGAATGACTTCAAAAAGAAATTTCTGTGAATCTACATGTTCCTGTATCTTCTTGATGCAACATTTCCTTTTTCAACATTTAAATTAATTAACACAAGATAAACGAAGCATACCTGTTCAATTTCATAATACTGGGCAAGATCGTGCACACACTGATTGACATGGTCTTCTGCAACCAGCAGAACAAAGTGGGCATCTTGGGCTCGGGCACGTCCTTTGCACTGCACGTACGAGCGGTATGACAATGGTGGATCAAACAGAATAACCAAATTACATTTTGGAACATCTATTCCTTCTTCCAGTACTGATGTACCCACCAGAAGATTACATTCTCTCATTCGGAATCTGTGAAGAATATAAAGAAGAAGAAGAACATTGCAGACACACATTCAACAGCAGCTATGTTTAAAAATAAATATGTCTATATGTATTTAAATGATAAAATTGTATGTTAAGTTCAGGAACATGAAAATTCATTAACTTGGTATTTAAAGATAATCAGTGTATCTATCAGTGTATATTATCTGTCAAGATGATAACAATTTTAACTAATCGTTATTAGCATTAAATTAAAATTAACATAGAAATTCCATGAGTGTTAGACATAGAAAAACTCAACTGATACTCAGAAGAGCCTAAATGATTATTACCAAAGAAACATTTCCCCTCCAAAAAATAGCAATCCTCCTGTTATTTCAATTTGTTTACATCTATGCAATTTTATAAATATTCTTTGCAATAATATCTTAGTTACTCAATATCTTTTGTCAATAACTCTAGAGAAGTTCTCAAAATATAACCCTAGTTGGTTCAAGATCTCTAGAAGGTGAAGTTGTAAAAATTCAAAAGAATGAGAAATGAATAACATTTGAATACATCACTGATGTTAATTACCTTTTTAAAACTTCCTCCTGTTTTCTGTGTTCAATTTCTGCTTCTCTTGGATCTGTAACTGGGTCTGCTATTTTATCTACAGTATACTGTGCCGCGAGGAAAGAGAAATCTTCATCACATCGTCGAATATCCTACAAAAATAAGACAACAAAACATTAAAAATGTACTACATACATTATAACAAATTTATTTTATAGCAAATGTATCACAACCAGAATAAGTAACACATTCTTTAAGATTACCAATAAAAGAAAAACTGAGATCAAATATTCTATTCTATCTTTGGCCCATTAAAAAACTGATTAATGAATGTTCTTCAACCAACAAATTTTGATTTCAACTGACCCAAAGTTACAAATTAAAACAAACTCAACGTTTTTATTTCAAAAAACCTTAGATTAAATAAATTATTCTTAGATAGTACTTTACAGAATTCACAGAAATTCTCAAATTTTTAAATGTCCTAATCGACACAAATTTTAATTTTTAGAATAAAACTTATATCCAACGCATCTACCCTTTGAGCCAAATTAAATACTCTAATTAATGATTTACTGGGGGGGCATCTGGAAAGTTAGTTAATCAGAGTTCCTTATAAAGAGTATTTTGTGAAAATGATAATTAACAAACATTCAATCTAATTAGCATAGGACAAGTAATTTTGTTTACAAACAACTTTTATTTCACAAACTTTTATTTTTGTAAAAAAACTATCTGATTTTTACTATGTCTGTTGACCTCTTAGACTGTTCAATATTGGACACGCAATGTTATGAAAAAACTTTCATTTATTATGGCTGGCATTACCAGATATAATAATGCAGGACTAAAATATTGGATGCATGATGACTTCATATGCACTCACTGAGAAGATTTGTAGAATCTTTAAAAAAAATATTAAAGGAAGCCAGATACTAATTTGTCAGCTTTCTAAAAAGAATAATGTCTAGTTATATAAGCGTCTCAAAATTTTCCCATACTTCTAACAACACATCTACAAATTCCCAGATTTTTCCAATTTTTCCAGAGCAATCAAATTCCTTGATTTTTCCCAGTTTTCTAGAAAGTGGCCACCCTGTCTAAAAAGTCAAAGTAGTGGCATGGGAATCGACTGTCTGCAGCATCGCCAGTTTTTACCAGCAGCGACCAATTTTTGTTACATGTTCATTTGGGGGCTAACAGCAAATCACTGAGAAAGGAATGAAAATTTAGGAAGTTTCGAATACCAAACCAACTGCAGGCAATATTTGTGACCCCACCTCTGTGTGCTTTGTGACCCCAAGCAGATCCATTGAAGTACACACAAACATAAATCTTGCTTGGCTAAGATGGATTCTTCTGTCAATGCCGTTTAGTGTTTATTGAAGATGGACAGCATGCCCCATGCCAGCAGGCAATCTCAAAGAGCAATTTTGAATACTCTGCCAGAAAAGCATGAAACTAAAATTGTAGCTTAGAAGCAAATACGATACTGTAGTGGTACTAATTAGCTGCAAATTTGGGGTGATTAAAACCACAACGCTCGCTAATTAGAATGTGAAAGTTTGTTAAGAAGATAGAAAAAACCTACAACTTAATAGGGCAGGACAGTACAATTTTGTTTGTAATTTAGAAAGTTTCATTTATAAGAGATTTTGTTATTAAAGAGTTTACAGTACACCATATACCACATTTTTTTAAGGTTAACAATCTTGTAAGAAGCAGCAGTGCCAAGCTTTAATATCTTACTTTGTTCATTCAGTAGACATGACAATGTTTCATTGCAAAGCAAATACAAGCTACTAGTAAAAATATAATTTATGGAAATAGCAAAATTTCACAATTTTAGGCACAATCAACTCACTTACAATCTATTTCCATTAGAATTTTATACTATCCTGTTTGTTTGTTAACTCACATCAGAGGCAACCAGACATAATGTCGCTCAAGAATCTACTGTTATTGCTCATTGCTTTGACATATGTGGCACCTTCACATGACTTAAATGTCAAGCACAAAAAGTTTATATTCCCGTTTCAAGAATACAATAATTAGAAATAAATAGAAAACTGTAAAAATTAGAACATGCAAGTTAAGATGTTAGTAGTGAAAGAAAATGAACTGTTTGATGATTATAGTATTTGTTAATTCTCTATTCTCACAATAAATTTATATCTGTAATAGTTAATGTTCTTCTAGTGGACAAATTAAGGTTTTTATTGGAGAAATTTAAATTATATGTTATATAAAATTTTGCTTTATATGCCTCATTACCCATTAGTATTAGTTTCAACTGAATGCTGGAAATCTTACATTTAACAAATGATACAAAATTTTTGCTGTAAATCTCTGTTCTACGAATACAATTCCACACAGGGCATCAGCATCATCTTGCATCAAGTTTCGGTAGTGGCGAAAAGGCATATCGCCATTTTTGCCAGAAGCATCTTCACGAAAGAATCGTCTGTTAAATCTTGGACCTTTGCCTCTTCCCGTATATCCCCGTGACTGTCCATGGAATGAAGACTCTTGCCGATTCTCTCTCTTTGGACTATTATCTGCAGTTTTGTTAACAGAGGAAGTGCTTTTGGTTGGTGATGCCTCTGCACTATTGCCTAATTTCTTTTCACTGATTTCATTCTTTGTTTCAGAATTTGTTTCAATAGGTTGAGATTTTTCATTTGTCAAGTCTTTCTGTTCTTCATCACTATTAATATTAATAAGTTTGTTTGAGCAGACTCCATTCATTTGACTAACTTGGTTTACAACTTTTTCTGTTAACAGAATGGCTGCAGAATTTGGAATGTGAGAGCAGTTCTTATTATCACAATCTGTATTCTCATGATCACACACTTTGAGATCACTTTCATTTGCCAATGTTTTACTTTGACAATCGCTGTTAGAGCAGTTACTAGTTTCACTGTTACAAGTTTCAACCAAGGGAATTTCTTCTGGAAGTGAGTTCACTTCCAGCATAGTTGGTGGAGAAATATTATTTACTACTAATTGCAGAGTTTCTTCAGTACTTGCAGAACATTCTTCTGTTTCAGAAACTAATGTTGACTGATCTTCACATAGGCACTCTGCACAATTTTCTTCTTTCTTTTCCATAATGTCAGATTTACTACTTAAAGAACTAACTTCATCAGCAGCTACTTGTTTATCACTTTTAAAATTGACAGATTCTCCATTACTTGGGAGAGGTTTCGGGTCCTTGCTATCATTTTCTGGGAGACAAGCTACAGAATTTTTATCTTCACGAAGTTGGGCAGGTTTGAACTGCTTCAATACTTCTAGCACTCTAAGAACTTTTGGTGAAGAGAAATTGTAGATTCTGTCACGATCATCATACTCTTGGAAAACATCATCACAGATAGCCCTGCAAAAGAGACAAATATTTATTACCAAAAGCACAAGCAAAACATTACATTAACCTGTTAACCGAGGAATTTTTCAGCATAAAACTTGCTTCAGAGAGGAGAATTTGGTATGAAAATGTCATACTCATATCTTCCTATATAATAATGCAAGGATAGTGCAATCTTGACCTGCTTACCAGAGTAATGTATTGATTTCCGATCTGGTCCACCCAGTACAATAATATATTTATTTTTAAATAATATGTTATTGCTTCTGATATGGAGCTCGATATATACTGCATAACTTACTTGGATTGAGATATTTGTGGTTATGAGGGAAATATGAAAACAGTTGAATGGTGTCAAAGTGTTCTATTCATGGAGGGAATTATAGGTGGGAAATGTGAAAGAACAAACAGTCAAATTAATATCTGGTTAGTCTGAATCATTAAAATTAGGCAAACCAACTTAGAATGTACAACAGGCATTACCAAGTGGCAACTGAAGCCTTTGACCTGAGGACTTTTTGTCATCACTCAATCATCAGAACCCTTGTAACGCCCTTAGTTCATAAATAACTATAATGTGATGATTTATCACAAACCGCCCTCTATCACCCGAAGCATCGCACTTTTCAAAGCAAGATGAGCAACCTTGTCAACCCCGAATACAGAGAAAACTTTCATGAGTTACATCACCCCAAAGGTTAATCATCATATGCACTTATCCACGTAATCTAAATATGAACATTACATACCTAATTTTTACCATAACAGAAGAGACCATACAAAGAAGTAAGAAATGTCTCTCATATGGTGTTTTCACTTTCAATTTCTCTAGATGAATTAAAAGGACTAATGCTGCTCGATCAGCACACCATGGTCCTGGAAAGACAAAACCAGCTAAATCAAAGGTACCTTTTTAATTTAAATTTAAAGTAAAGTTGAAGATGTGAAATTTATAAACAAAATTTACTGATTAGCAATGATGCAACCAGGATTTTTCTTTGGGGAATGGCTACAAAGTGTCCAGCTAACACAATGCTTTCTTATAAACAGGACTAGGATTCTGATGACATGTCATCTTTTCATTGGTGCATTTTAGACATTGCTAACTTGTAAATTAATGCTTATAAAAATATATAAGTACTAGAAATGTATAATTAACAAATCTTTTTTGTAATTTTTTGCCATTTTTAAATTTTTAGGTCATTATTTTGGATATTTGTCATTTTTGTCGCTTTTACGCATTTTGTTTTCTTTTCTTGAATGTTTCTTGAATTTTCAATGACAGACTGAAAAAGTAATTATTGCATACTCAGTTCATGAGAAAATTCACTACTGAAGTGGATCCTGCTATTCAAACTTTCAAAATTACACAGATCTTCGGCAACTTAATCGACCTTTCAGATCTGATGGTTGGAAGATCATTTCCTCCTAAAATAAAGACTATATAAATTAATTTTATTTACAATTGTAAAATTCATTGAATAAATAAACATTTTCATACAAATTTTGGAATATTTTTTTAGAAAAAAGGTAACTTTCTCTCTTTCTTTTAAGTTATTTCATAGTTATATTCCTCTTATTTTAAGGACATCAGAATCAGAGCCTTGCTTATTAAGAATTTTGCATTTATGTGTAATTTATTTTGCATAATTAAAGATAATTTACTTTTATACAATTAAAAAAAATGTTTTTATTTCTTTATTTATAACATATGATATATATAACATATTATAACATAAATTGAGTGACGTTTGTGACTTTAGACAATGAAAAACATCCAAATTATACATATGCATGAACATTGTAGCTATAGTATACCTACATTAACATAATGTGTAAGATAAATGCAGACTTTACAGCATCAACATTTCAGCTTGTGTAAACAGAAATTTAAATAAACATTACATGTACAAATTTATTCAAGTGTAATTAGATCAATTGGAAATAACCATACCTAGAGTGTGAAGAACGTTCAGAAATTCATCAAATATTTTAATAGGATCAATTTTTGGATCTGGAATCCCTTTGAGCTCTTCTTGAAATTCTTCATCATAAACTTCTGATGGATCATATCGATGATCATTAATAAATGATATCGCATCCTGAACTTGCTGTTCCAGAATGAAGTCCAGTTTCCCAGCAACATGCAAACCATATTCAACTACCACCTCTTTAGGGCGTGCACAATACCTAAAAATTAAAGAACAATGCAATCACAATAAAACCAGTAAAAACTGTAATGTTTTTGTTGATAAATATTGTTTTTAAAGTTGGTAAGTTAGTGAGTCACCTGTTTATACTATTTCAGGAATGAGTTAACATTTGATCAGTGGCATAGTGTGACAAAATCAAATGGGTAAAGAGCAGCACCAAGACAGGAATTGGCCAAAGGGAGAATTCCCAAATCATTATTCTGCAGATAAGACCTTTAATATTATCTAAAATTATTGGCTTCAAAACTCAAAATATTATTTAAAAGAAGTTAAAGTATAACACAACTATACTCAGAACATGGAAGAGCAGTGAGAAATCAAGAGTGTGCTAAATCGCACCTGGGCAAGAAAGACATGTCAATTCCATTGGTTGAATCTTTTGATCAAGAAGGTCCCTGTTGAATGTCCTTGCTAAAGAATTTCTTGACAAAGAATTAAACAAGAGAAGACTGATTGGGATGTCTTCCAAGAGGCCCCTCACTTGGGTTGCTACCTTAACTTGTTGACAGGACACCCTCTGTACAGCAACTTGACTTCAAAGAGTTAAAGAAAAAGTGTCCAAAAATATACCAAGCGTTCATAATGGCTTTCCACAGTTGCTGTTTTGTCACTCCAGTTTTTTTTGTTCCAAATTAGTAATTTTGTACACTGTATCAGAGACGGCATGTTTGCTCTCATCCAGACCTGCCTAGTGAGCTGAATCCTGGCATCACGGTCCTCACAATGCCTGAAAAATTGCCAGGACCACTTCTCGTCACCTCTCCACTTTCTTTCTCACTGTACCACACAGAAATCATAATTTCACTTGCAAATCGAAGTGTACTTGTCATGTGTTCCCAAGAACATCCAGAAAATCTTGCATACCAGGAGAAATAGAAGAAAGTCTGCATTGACTAGAAGCATTTACCCTCACAGGTTCATTAACTAGTAATATGCAATATGAAAACAAAACAGAAGTATAATTTACCCAGAAGGCTAAGAGAATTAGGAACAGGAACAGCTTGAGACCAGAATATGTTAGACAAACTGTGGTCACTTCTCTCGTTACTAAACCTTAGACCTCCCAAACTCTCCCTTAAGAACAGGGGGACACTATACCGCAAGGGACTCTCTTTACCCATGGGCTACCCTAGATAGGAAGAATACAAAACCGGATACCTGACTGAGATCAACACAATATTGTCTTTTCCACAAGAAAAAGGGACACCAATGATGAAGATACTGTCGATGGACTTCCTGAATGCAATGTATATTAAGGTATGTAAGGCAATCATATGCAATGGATATTACTTTATCCCATCCTTGTATTTTTATCTAATGGGTAAATAGTGTCTATTATATGTCTATGATACTGTATTTGACATAATCATTTATTTCACAAGTTTTGAGAATACTCACCTCAAAACAGAAACAATGTCACTCGCAGTTTCTGCAGTACTGTGCAAAGAAATCTCTAATCTCCTGATTTCTCCTTCTAAACGTGCAGGATCACAAGTGTTGTTGAGTAGAGGGGCAGTAAGACCTAAAACTCGTGGCCTCTGACGACATTTGTCAAAATCACGCATAATCTGCAAACAAAACAGGAAACTCTCACTCACACAAAATACATTCTCCACTTTCCGAAGTAACCAACCATTGGAGATAAGGAATTTCTCTACCTGCTGCACTGGATGGTTCCTAACAGCACGATGGCATTCATCAAGAACAATAAGATTGATATCAACAAACGAAAGAAATCCACATCTAAAAACTTGAAAACAAACTGTGCTTGTCATCACTAGCACCTGCAATCAAATAAATTTATTTTAATAATTATATTTCCCAATAAACATTAAATTAAGAAAGAAGCAATTTATTTCTCCCTACAATATAGATGCAATATGACAATGACAAACAGAAAGAAACCTTCATATACAATAAAATTTCACTGGAAAAAAATCTTTATTAGAGTACAACCAATTAGTATTATTTTAACTAAATAACAGATTATGTTTTTTAGAAGTTCATAAAGTGATACAACCAAACAGAGATCACTGAAACAGCAATAAAACTAACATAGAAAGAATTTGATTCAAAGAATTATATCAAGGAATACGGAATTAGAAAATTTACTCAAGTAGTTAAGTCGTCACCTGTGTAACAAAATATTACCTGATGTGTTTGTAGTTCGGTTTCCCAATCCACTGACCATATTGCTTGTTCTTCTTCAGTATCCAGCACATATTCTCCCACACTCAAATCAGTCAGGTGCCTGATGTACGCAGCCTGCTGGGCGACCAGAGTTGGGGTATCCACCACATAAAGTGTGCGCTTTCCTCCACCACGCCATGGCCTGTTTTGGATGAAAGATATCAAATATCAGCTATTAGTTTTCATAGGATACATGATTTTTGCAATGTCAAGTGCTTGTCAATTTTGTACAATAATGTTTGGGATATGTTCCTGTTTGGTAGATGAAGTTTCTCCACAGTACTCATTCATTTGAGACAAAAATTTGTTCTGAAGGGTGCTTAGGTACTAGACTTGTTTTTAACTTTAATTATGTCTTGGACAGGACTTTGAACAGACTTATTACTGAAGAATACCTTCACAAAATAACATTTCTGTAAACAATTTGATCAATACTACAAAGATTTCATCATCATGAAAGCTTGACATAATTTACCAATTTTGGTATTCTATTTATCATACAAACAATAAAAGAAATGTAACTACAAACATTTAAATGAAATTACTTTTATGATTTTTACATCTTCAATTTCACTTCTTACTAATCTTAGTACTTCTTACTCGTCTTCTGGAAACAAGTATCTTGGACCCTTCGCCTTGACAACTTTATTCTTGCTATTTCATACGTGATTTTACTTTTCTTGTGATTCCTTTGAGATTGCATCTCCTTTTCATACAATGTTCTACACACTTGTTTCAGTAGATAAATCACTTACTTTTGATGCTGATTTCTCATCAAGCATCTGTTTTAACATATTCTCCTGATTCACTTCCAATCTTGGAAATTATTTTCTTTTTTCATTCACATCTGCTCCTTCATTGAAGATGGTTTACCTCATTTATCAAGTTATTTTATTCTTGTAGATTTCTAAGAAATAATAAATATCTTTGCAATTTGTTCATGAGAGTAGGAGCTTCCTTCTACAAAAATATTTTTGTTACACCTCCTGGTTGGGTGATTAAACACTTTTCCACCCCTCTGATTTTCTTAGTCTAAATATTACAACAGTGGAAGATAAAATGAAACAGACATTTTGACTAATATGCAATCAGACACCGTAACTAACAATAGCACTGTCAATTATTGCTGTAGGCTTCCTCAATTAGGACAACCCGTTATGCAGACACAGCTGTCACAACAGAAACTCCACACCTTGCTAGATCAGCATCTACCTTGAACATCAAAATCTAACCAAACTGATCTCAACATTAAGATTCTCTCAAATGGCATCCCTTGGCCAATGGAGATATTAGCCAATTATATCATCAATGGAAGCAAAGACCCAATTCGAAATAATGTTTGTAATATTGTTCAGTTGATCAAAATATCACAGCATAAAATAAATTTCAATTATGTCAAATGTCAACAAGAAGGTGCCCTTTATAATTAGCAACATAATGTGCTACGTAAATTAAATTTGTTACTCTTAAGAGTGAAAAATATAGTTTTGGAATATGGAAAAAAAAGTTCAGTGTAATAATTTGGTCACCTTCGTATTTACATGTTACTCTACAACATAAACAGAAAAGGTCATGAGACAAATATTTATCCTCCATTATTCATAGAGAGAGACATAAATTTGCCTGCTGATAAAAGTCGTCAGCTGTTTTGTCTGTTGTAGCACCTGGTACTGCAAGATCTAACAATTAGAAATGGGGCCAAATAGTTTTTCTAAAAATGAGAAAATAACTTTCCATAATATTGGGAAGGAAATAATTAGCTTTCCATCATACTATAGACAGGATATTTGAGAAAGATGAAAGAAACAGGTACTCCCGCATTACATGATATTAAGAACACAAATGTTATGTATTAACAGCTTCCATACAAAGATATGAAAAGAATTAAAGAACAAGCAAATCTAAATGTCAATTGATTAATACATTCTGTTTCTTTTTCAGGAAGTATAGATTTGTGATATAAATTCTTAAAATCAGAGAAAAACACTGTTTCTTACTTGCGGACAATACTAGCAAGTTCTTGGATTAGCTTGGTAGCAATAAATATTTTGCCAGCAGCTGATCCCAAGCATACAATGATATTACGCTCTTTAGCAGCATCCAAAAGTTCCACCTGAAAAGTGGAAATAAAACATTAACATTTGAAGTAAATTGAGGAACAAATCTACAATGACAAATGTTTAACTAACCTGATATTCTCGTGGAGTGAAAGATTTGGTGTATACATTATCATTAAAATGATAGGCCATTAGATTAAAACCTGTGAAATAAGAGAATAATTAAAGATTAAATAACCGGATCTAATATAATCATATGAACTGACACAGGCTTCCTTACAAGAAAACACACCTTACAACAGCACGCTTTAGAAAATATTTCCTACAACACAATATGAATTTTAGAACATGTTTGAAATTAACACTGTTACTCCCTAGTCTTCTTTTCCGTCAAAGTAGCGAAGAAATATTGTGAATACAGGATGCACCTATCACTCTGTCCATACTCAATTCACGTTTCACAAGGATAGTGAGCACTAGATTCGTGGAAAAAAGTAATTGAATTTTTTAGCCAGTTTATGTCAATATATGAAAAAAAGAAACTGAAATATTTTGTCTTTCCTCGCTACGAAAAAAAGTATCAAATACATAAACACAACACGCCTCACTTTCAGTGGAGGCGACTGGAGACAACTCAAAGCAAGTGCATGCAGTGACGGGTCGGTCAAGGACCGACTCTACTCTGCACGCGAACCACCCGTAATCAATCGGTCTGTGGTCAGGGACCGACCACAGACCGACGGCTCTTGCATGCCGGGTGGTTTGCGTATGGCGTGCAGAGCATGGTCCCCGGTGTAAGTGAGATTGATTCTCATACACCGTAGAATCTTGGATGAATAGATGTATGTTAATTTATGACACTATGGTCCATGATGTTACTATGGATGAATAATTTTTTCTAAGATGTTGATGCTTAGAATGGATGATGGTGATGCTTAGAATCACCACAATGTAAGATAATATTTCTTACACCGTGGGCCTGAATTTTGAACGATAATCTCCCGAACGAGCAAGCGATTCACAGGGACTTACACTGTGATACGAACGAACACATGAATATAAAGATTCGGTACATTTCAATAATTGCACGGTTCATTTCTTGCACCGTGGGTAATTGCCCAAGTGCTGAAAATGGGCAACATGTAAACATTTTGTAAATAGAGTTTGTGCGAGGAATCTCTGCCTACTAACAGGTGCGCGCGCGTGTGTGCGCGCGCGTGTGTGTGCGTGTGAAGGAACAGTAGCGACAGGTCGTAAGGGACCAGAGAGGCCGGGCCCCACCAACATTTAACATTTCAGAAGAATCATCTTTACGGTCTACTTGCCAACTCCAAGAGCTCTTTGTGCAGTTTTGTGAACGCACGGAGAGTGCAATGCACGTTCACGCCATCGCGTTGAGACCATTCCTAGACTACCCTTGCGGGCATCTATGGCCAATCCTGCAACATGAAGAAAAACAGAAGGTCAAAAATGACTTGAGCCTACTGGGGCGCGCATTGCGTATTTGGAAATACTAAGTGTTTCAAGTCTCATTTCTCTGTTTCAGATTACTCTTATTCCAGGAAGTGCTTCGGACACCTATACGTGGCCCTTTGATCGGGTTGGTACTTGCCAACTCAAGCTCTATGATGTCACAAAATTCTGCTCTCCTGTGGCGGCGGGCGTAGTGTTGCAATGATGGTACGGAAGTGGAGGAAAACATTCGCTCGATAATTACGTTTTTAAATCATTAATATTTAAATGTTTATGATTTAATAAAAATATGAAAAAAATAGAACATATTGTTGCATAATTAAAAGCTATATCTGACTGTTAGTGTAGCGTAACCAGTACCTGTAATTCCACTTTTATTCTTCTAATACATAATATTTTTAGAGAAGGCAGTTTTAACATTTTAGTACAATTATATTTTATACATTCGTACATACAGTTCGTCTCGAACCAATAATTAATGTTAACAAATAGATACACCCGGGAAGGAGTCATGTGGGAGAATTTGGACTCCATGCTTGATTATTGTTGTACAGTTTTATTTGAGAATGTTGTAAATCCTTGTGATTTTCAGTACCTCTTCCATAATCATCTCTCTACAAAATACTTTTCTCGTTTCATTATTGCAGGTTATCTGTTAATTTTCGAAAATTATTTTCATTTCGCGGTTTTCTTTTGGTTGCAAAGCTGCGTAATACCTCTGTTGGTTGAACTTTTTAACATACTACAGTTCTTTCGAACACACTAAACACTTCGACATTGCTTCGGTGTCTTCAAAAAAGAAACATTTCTTCCGAAGTGGAAAGAAAATTAACGGGCATAAACGGGCTCTTATTATTGACTGAAACACAAGCAACGACCCACTGCCAAGGCTGTCGATCCCTCCGCCGTTCGTCGACCCCTTTGCTCACACTACTTCTCCGAGACCTTTCTCCTGGAGGGAAATGGTGCCCTGATGTCGTATCTCCACCAGTTGGTAAACACTACGGTAGGCTCTAAATGGCTGATGAAACTTTATTACTGGAATTGTTTATTTGTGAAGAAGGGCAATGTGCCCGCCGCTCAACTTAGTCCGATCATTTCACAGCTTCCTAGGATTGATTCGTCCCTAAAGTGTAGTCCATGTCTCATGCCGTGTTATGTCCGTGACTTCCCCCTGCTAGATGGCGAGATCCCGCGCTGACCTATCCGTCGGCTTGCACCAGCCTACCCAACCAGGTATCACCCGCCAGCAGGGCTCCCCCCTCCAGTCGAGACGTCTCAACTTGGGTTTTTATTTCTCGGCGCGCGAGGCCTTGTCTTCACAATGGAATATCTCACGGTATTTCGCGCCTTTCTCGATCGTGCCGCTAGATGTCACATATCGCGACCGTATCGAGCAATGCTAATGATGATGCGACATCTAGCCGAGCGACAGCTCGAAGCTCAGCAGAATTCTCCTCCCACAGCAGCTGAACTCGATCCAGCTATGTGGATAGCGTCGAAACTCCTGCCACTGTCAGGACTCGAAACCTGGACCTCCTGGTCAGAGGGACTGAGCTTTCTATAAAGATGTCCCCGGTCGATCCCAGAGGCGTGGCTACGTCCTCGGGAGTCCCAGTGCACAAAGTTTAAATGGGGCCCCTCTTTGTCGTTGCCATGTTCACAGAAGCTGGGTGACCATTGGTGACCATCCACACTGGGGACCCGATTGTCGTACTCTTGTTGCACGAGTCCAGCCCCTGTTCGCACCTAAACCCCGAGAATAACTGACATACTTACTAGACTCACTCAAAGATAGCGCAAGTATATCTCCTAGGGTAGTAACTAGGGTTTCTCTCTATCCTAGGGACCGGGACTGCGAACCTCAAGGCAATAACCCCCCTTGTTGTCAAGGTCAGTGTCCTTCCGTTCTCCGCGCGGCCATTGTCGGTTACAGGCAGTCTTGCAGTTCAGAGCCTTCCTGGTTCTCTATTTATACAGTAGTCTTGGAGACCACGGAAGCGGTTCCTTACTGGCGAAAGGACAGTTTTCTTCATTTACGTCAAAAACGGTTAAAACTGTGTGTGTGATGTGCTATGGGGAGAAGTTAATTTGAAGTTACATTTATGCCCAGAAGCAAAACAAGGCGCTATCTCAGCATTTGCTGAAGGATCAGGGAAACTGGATGAAAACCTGATCAAAATGATTGATCCAGAAGCCGAACTACAATACTTGTATAATAAAAGTACAATAGAAGTTTGTGCGTGCTTTGTGCAAAGTGATTTCAAAGTTCATCCAAAAGGGAGCTTAAACGTCACCATAGTGACGTCACTATGGTGATGTTTAAACTCCCGATTGAATGAAAACGTTAACAGCCGATACCTGCCAGGGGCAGAGATGCTTAAATCGCAGTGTAGTATTTGGTAGTACTAGCTATGAGTCGTAATGCATAGAACTTGCTCCATCTTGAATTTATTAGATTTAGATTTATTTAGTAAAAAACAGTAAAAACTGTATGTGACGTATGGGGAGAACATCATCTGCGCATTTTTCTTGGGTTCTAGAATCCCTTCCTACTATAATAGTTGAAAGATAAGTAAAAGTTTGAAATAAAAATAAAATAAAAATAAATTTTAAAAAGCGCGAGAACAGCAATATTTGAAAAAACTAGACATTTTCGTTACCGAGTAATAGAACACTTATTTGCGTCGGTAAACGAATTGCAGGTATGATTTTTCTGCATTGCTAACAAAATAGTAACTTGCCCTTACCTCTACACCTACTATTACAAGCAAAAGGAGAGTTCAACAAAACGTGCGTATAACGAAGCTACATTTACGCCCAGAAGCAAAACAAGGGCCCATCTAAGCATTTGCTCAATAGACCAGGGAAACTGGTAAAAAAACTGATCGAGATAGGGGTCATTGACCGGGGAGCTGAAGAACATTATTTGTTGCAAACACATTAAGTAAAAAAATACAATGCAGATATAAACTAATTTAATATATATCACTGTTTTGTTAAAATAAACATTATTTTTCTTTTTGGTAATCAGTAT